CCACAGCCCCCTGCTGCTGAGTGCACAGTAGTGGCTCTGTGCCCTCCAGCACTTCTGTCCTGACAAGAAACTTTGGAGGGGTGTCAGCAGCTGGAAGGAAAGGGGCTGCCACCTTCCTTCCCCGCTCTGAAAGAAGGGGGAAGACTTCTTTTCAAAGTCCCCTACCCTTTGATAAAGGAAAAGCTGCAGGTGGACTGCAGGATGAGGAGGAGGCCAGCACCCCAAAGCCAGAGTCACAAGAAAGGCCACCAGCTGAAATACCAGCAACAGGGGGCCTGTTGCGTATGCTTCAAGCCCAAAGGGAAGAGCTCTGTCCACGGCGCAAGGACAGAAAGCAAGGAAGGCAGTTGCTGGGACTGCAGGTGGCAGCAAGGTCAGCAGACTGCTACATGGTACCAGGGCGTCAGCAAGGTCCTGCCCCTTCGCTGCCGTGCTTTGTGTGCGACCACCCAGCCTCCAGGGGAGCGTGGCTCATGGCCTCCCTGAAACCGTGGCTGTGTTCAGTGCCCCAGCACCCTCCTCTGGGCATTCACAGCCCTTCAAGTCTGAGCCCTTGAAGCCCTCTGCTGCCTGGCCCAGCAACGTCAGGCCTGCAGCAGAGGCTTGCGGCCATGTCCCATTCTCAGGCTGCTATTCTGCTAAGCCAGCCCACCAAGCTTGCCTGAAAAGTTCAGGTGTGTATTGCTTCCTACCTGTTTTTGCAGGAGCTTCCTTTTCTCCTCCTCCTGAGCAGATTGCCAGAGCCTCAGAGCTTTGCTGAACTGCTCTTCTGCCAAGCGGAGCTGTTGGGCCATTTCTTCACATTGCTGCTTGCTGAAAGATCTTACAGCTTGCAGCTCACAACGAAGGCCCCTGACATCCTCTGCAAACACGACAAACAACAACAGTCAAAGACTCTGCTGAACATCACCTCTTTCAGATTCAGGCAAGGAGGGACCTGCCCCCAGCCCCTTCACTCCTCGGAAGCCCTGCTGACAGAGCTGCCTTGGGAGCAACTGCACTAGGCAGGGCCATCACCAGAAACAAAGCGCACGAGGCTCTCACCAAGTATCAGCTCCTTGGCCTGCATGGCTGTGCCTACTTGGCCTTCCAGACGGCTCCTGGTGATCTCCAGCTCCGACACCTGCTGCAGAGCCTCCAACAGGCTGCATTGCAAGCTCTCCTTCTCTGTCCTACAAGTTGTGAAGATGAGGACAAATTGTTCGTGGCACACACGGGCAGTTTTTCCAGTAAGTGCCTTAAGATCCCTTTACCTGAGTATGGAAAACAGCTGGCATGGAAATGCAGATAGAGCAAGACTATTTCTACCACTTCAAATAGCAAAGCAGACCCTTCCAGGAGATTGGCCAGCCTTTCCCCACGACCTAGCCCAGCACAGAAAGCCCAGCTGAGCTTGATCTCAGCAGCCAAAGCTCAAATTGCTCTTCCCTCACATATCCCACACGGGTGGCTGTGCCCACAAAATCTCTAGCAGCAAGCAAAAGGCCAGCCTCTGCTCACAGCCCTGAGCTCATCTGCAATTCCAAGTCACTCTGCAGGGGGACAGAGCACCGTGCTCTCCTGGCTGTTTCATCCATGCTTTATGCCATTCACGGTGTACGTAAGAGATACTTCATTTTCCACACCCTCTCTAAGTTCAAGGCACTAAAGGAATGCACCGAACCATACATGAGAGCTGCAGCTTCTAGCAGCACCAAGAGCAGAGAGAAACCAGAACTAGGCTTTCATCTGAAAATGAACTCTCTGGCAGGAGGGGCATGTATCCTGCCATTTAAATTACTGGAATATCATGAATAACAACAACTGCCACCTTTAGTTTTGGCTAAATAAGTCTGCACTGCCCAAAATGTTTTGGCACTCTTTGAAAAGAAGAGAGACCAGCCAGAGTAACCTTGACAGGTTCCAGAGCTGAATGGACAAGTGAGCAAGAATCAGTGCTCAGCAAGAATCCTCAGGGACTGTCAAGAAGGCACACAAGACCTTTCTTTCCTCTCTCTGCTGCTGCTGCTGCTGCTGCTGCTGCTTGCAAGCAACTCTAGGTCCTGCACCATACCTCCTCACAAGAGTTAGCTCAGAAGGGCCTCAAGATTTTCAGCATGAATGTCCAGCATCACCCCAAGTGCCGCATCCCTACTCACAACATTCACATGTAGGAGCCTTGAATTCTGAAAATGTCATGTCAAACTGCTGGGCAAGGAAATAGTGATGTTCAGATGCACCGACGGAGAAACCAAAAGCAGAGGGAAACGTCCGGTTCCAGCAGACATCTGCACTGTTTCCCTGGTACTAAATGCAGTACCATGTTGGCTTGCTTTGCACTTGTCACAGGAAGGTGCAAAGGGTCCCAAGCGGGTGTTCAAAAAGAGCTGTGAGAGCTTGAGCTGGCAGAGAAAGAACATTCAGGCCACAGTATGCTTTTCTTTTTTCTCATGTCTCTTTGCTTCTCTGTCCGAGAACCATCTGGAGAGCACGCAGGAGCCAATAAATCCTAACATAACGCTCAGCACCTTGGTCACTCCAGACCTTCAACAATGGCCCACCCTGGGTCTCATCCCTGCCTTTACCTGGCCTCTGCCAGCTGCTCCAAAAGGCCTCGTAGGTCCCGCTCTGTGGCTGCCAGTCGGGCTTGCAGGGCAGCGTTCTCTTCCGCCAGCACTGCCTTCTCTTTGCACACCTGGGACAGCGTGTGCCCTTGGCGAGAAAACTCCTGGAGCAGCTTCTCCAGAGTCCTGTGTGCTGGCCGCTGCGAGCGGCAAACCTGGAAGCAGAGGGGCACCATTTTTCAGGAAGAACAACAACACAGTCTCAGTCGTAGCTTGCTGCCAGAAGCAGCATTCGGGGAAGACTTGCTAAGGGCAGCTCCCTCTCCCACAGGTGCTGCCTAGCAACAAGGTGAGTGCTACCTTTGTCACTGCCAGAGGAACTTCCTCCTTCAGCAGATCTCTCTGAGGCTGTGATTCCTCTGCTGTCTCAGGTGCCGCTTCAAACGCCCTGTCTGGTGAGGAGTGGCGCTTTCCCTCAAATGCAGCCAACTCCTTCCATCTATGACAGGGGGACAGACCAACAAGCCTTTAATAGCAACAGTCTCCTTGCAAAACCTCAAATCCACACCATGTCCCAAGGAAGGCAGTCTCAGGGACTTCCTACAGCCCTCTAGGTCCACCTCTGGACAATGCTGGAATGACCCCACTAGACCAAGCATCACTCTTTGTCATTCCTGCCGGTGAAAGAGTCACCAGTGAGGAAGCAAAGAAGCTTCCAGAAACTACAAAACATTTCCAGAAAGCTCCGCTTCCATCAGCTTCACAGCTTCCTGCCCGCTAGGTCTTACGCTCCTCTCTATCTGGTCCACTGGATGCCAGACTTGCAAAAGTTCTTCTTTGCCTAAGACAGGCTTGGGAAATGCAGATGAGTACTGCCACAATTACTCTTGCTTTCACTAGTGCAAGAAGGAAAGAGCCTGCAAGCTATAGCTTGGGGAGGAGATGGGTATGAAGTTCCAAGCCAAGAACCAAAGGATCCCGGGATGCTTACGGCTTGCAGGGACTCCAGGAAGCTTGCAGCCCAGTCTGCAGCTCCAAGCACCTGGGGTCAGCTATGGCATGTGGACAGGCTGCTCAAGGCTCTATCCAGCAGCTGGGCTTCCAAATTTCCAGAGGTGGAATGTGCACAAGCTCTCTGAGGTGCTTCTTCTGCTACATGATAGGCTTTATGGTTCAATGCTTGTCCCTAGGCCCAGCCTGAAGCTCCCTTGCTTCTGCTCTGGTCCAGTTTGGAATGCTTTTTGTCAAGGTAGGAGGAGGGAGTGCCAGGAGGCAGCTATGCTGTAGGTCGGTCGGCAGCCAGACCTGCCCACGGGCTGCCTTTCCCTGACTATGCTGGGCAAGTTCAACAGCGAGAAAGCCAAATTCATTCTTTGACCCCGGGATTCCTAAAGGCCAGCAAGGCCCAGCCCTGCTCGGAGAAAGCAAGAAAGCTTAGCACACACCTGAACTCCAGGGCTCTTGGTGCTCTATCCATCCTCTGCTGCCGCTCTGCCTTTCCTGCCCGGCCCGAGGAGTCCTGACTGGCAGGAAGCTCTGGTCTTGGGGCCTGCAAGGGATGGGCAGGGAAAAAGCACAAACAAGAAAGCAATAAGGAGCAGGCAAGTTGTCTCCTGAGAGCTGGGAGAAGCAGCAAGCGCAGATGCAGCTCACCTGAAGGCAAAAGCTGTTGTGTGGGGCTGTTGATGGGAGTAAGTACATAACCCTTGAGTTGCTATGGAAATAGGTGCAAGGAACAGTTCCCTGCTCCGTTCTGATCAACTGGCTTCCCCTCAGGATCTCAAGCATTAGGGAGCAGCCAACAGGAACTGTGTTGCAGCCTTTCAGAGACGGGGCTTGTCTCTGCCATGCAGAGCTGCTTAGGATTCTTCTCAGCAAACTTGGGTCATGTCAAAGTACAGGGTGCAGTCAAAGCGGTGACTGTAGCTACTTCGACAGTGCGTGCAGAGGGGCAGGTCCCTGCAGGACACAGTAGGTCCTGTGTACCCCACAAGGCTGTGAGCTGTGCCTTGGGACCGCTCTCTCTGCTGACAGCAGGGAGCCTGCACACACACTGGGCACAAAGGGGCTCACTTTGCCACCAGTAGCACTCAAGGACAGCATGCTACCGCTCATCTGACACCAAGGGAAGTTCACAGTCAGAATGATGTTGGCATGTGAAAGTTCAGATGCCAGTTCCCAGGTGTCAGTGGCTGGGCTGAAGAGCCAGGTCGTGGCAGGACTCCAGGCCTCAGCATCTTCAGCCACAAAGGGCCAGCACTGCCTGATCAGGAACTTGCAGCCCTGCACTGCACCAAAGCTTTGCACTGGAGCAACCAAAGCTAGCACTTACTGGTTCAGGATGCTCAGGCCCTGGACTGACAACACGGGCGGGATTGTTATCCTTTGCCTCCCCATCAGCCTCTGGAGGCACAGGGCGAGCCACGGGAGGTTCTGCTGCTGGTGTGCTGCTCTGCAGACAGACAGGGGTGTGAGGGACAGGCAGTGAGCTGTCATTGAGAGCCTTGTTTCTCCTGAGCTCCATCCCCAGCTGTCCTAGGGAGATGTCATGAATTTGGATAGAAGTGGAATCCTCAGCCACTTGAACAAGTGGGCTGATGAGACTAATGTTTGGCCAGGACTGCATATGCTTCTGATATAAGGGAGATATTTTAGCCTGGCTACAATTGGCGTGCAGCCTCCTGTCTGAAAAGTTGACTTTCATGAGTAAAAACTTCTTCAATGGAAAAGGAGGAAACTGATGGAATCCTCTTGGTAGTGCTCATTCAAACGCTGATGTGGACTTTCATTTGGCCTGCCAGGCTGGCACTCGAGTGCACCAGGCCAAGCCCACAGCTTGCTCCACAATTCTTGGAAACCAGGAATGTCAAGGGTGTCCTTCTCACTCACCAAACCACGGACTTGATTCCTTCCACGTTTGAGACAACCTGCCGGAGACAAGGGAAAATGAACCAGGTGCTGGTGGAAAACTGTCTGTGCTGGGCTACCCCACGGAAAAAGGTCCCCCAAGCAGAAAGCATTTTCCTTTCACAACCTCCCTCCCTAAAGCAGCCCTTCTTTAGCTCAGCAAGCAAGGCTACAGGGCACTACCCTAGGCTGTGCCTACCTGAGTTGGCTTTGCCACTAAGGAACTAGAAACTTGGCTGCAAAATGCAAATGGTTCCTTAGCAGTCCGTGTCTACATTGTAGCCCGCTGTTCACCCTACAGCTAAAGCAGCCTTTTCCTCCTCTCCTCCCTGGACTTTTATTTTTTTAAACTTTGTGCAGTTGCATGCAATTGCTGTAAACCATTGCCCAGAAAACTTCCCTAAAGCCCTCTTAGAGCTTGCAGTTCCATTTGGAAAGAGTACAGGCCCAGCTCTGGGCTTCAGGAGCACACACAAACTGCTCGGCACTTTCCCCTTCAGCGCAAAGCCAATCGCTACTGTAGCACACAGAGAGGCTCAAGTTAGACAGGCACATTCTTTAAGGACAGAAGGCAGAGAAAAGCTGCTTTCCCTCAGCTCTGGAGAGAACCACACAGTTTTTAGAATCATGCCTACAAAGCTCTCCCAGTCTGTGTTTTGGAAGTTGTCCACACCCTTCTGGCCAAGAGACATCCCCTTTCTAGCTGAAGCTGTTGGCAAGAGCTTTACCAAACTTACGGCATCTTTACGGCACTTTTGTTCCAGTGTGCTGCCCCAAGGAAAAAGCCTCTACTTACGTCTCAGGCCTTTGAACATTTTGCAGGATGACACTGATGCAAAAGCCCTGCTGACAGCACTGCGGAATTGCTCCATTGTTTCAGCAGGGCTGCTCGAGTCCGCAGGCCAGAAAACACAAATGAAAAAAATCCCACTTGCACAGATTGTGCAAGGAAAAGAGAAAAAAAAAGGCACGCGCAGCAATCCGCTGACTGTACAAGAAGAAAAGAAAAACCAAAAGACACCTGCACAAGTCTGCAGTTCGTAGAACGAAAAAAGAAAAAGCAAAGACACCTGTACGTGTCTGCAAACCCTACAACCGTAGGGGAAAACAAAAGGATGCCTACACGAGTCCACAGACTCGTACAACGGCAGGCAAAAGAAAAAGATTCCCTTTCCAGGGCACAGAGTGTTGCCTGAGAACACCTCAACACAGGGTCCTCCTGCAACGAGCACGCCAAGAGCCGCTCTGGACGCTGACGCTGTGCGTGCACCAGGGCAACCTCCCCCTGACCACGCTGTGACGTGGCAGCCCTCCGCTGACATCACAATAGCAGCCGCTCTAGGTGGGTCTGTGAATTTATGCATAGTAACAGAACCTTCTCTGCAGCTAATGCAAAAGAAAGCCCAGAAAGTTCTCATCTGTCCCAAAGCAGCACAAACCCTCCTTGCAGTCCAGAACCCATAGCTCAAAGGATCCAAGAGTAACACTAAACAGGCCCCAAGCACATGTACCCTCTCCTTTGGCCACCAGTGCTTCTGACTAAAACAAGTAACACTTGCTTCATTTCTATGGGTGCAATCACGCTTTGGTAATATCCCGGAGAGTCCCCTTAATTGAAATGCTTGTC